CAATAGCAAGTGTCATAAAATAAAAACTAAAGCACATATAAAAAATTCAACGAGCCTAATTTAAGAGCAGCTGTAGGCATGCCCAAGTAAAAGTGAATCAGTTAATAAATAAGGGAAGAGAATGGGATTGAAAAAGGTATACAAAATCCAATATGGACGCCGTTTCCATAGCAACCTATTCACAATATACTTTTTGAACTATTGATTTCAAAAATCCCCAATAACACACAATGTCCCACTGCAAATATAGGCACTCTAGGCATTGAAATAGCCAAAATAGACCTCAGGTGACCCACCAGCCCTTAATTTATTATTATCCTTACTCTTATTACTATGATTAATATTATCACTAATATTACTATCATTATCACCATTATCATTATCATCATTATAATCACCTGCGCAAACTGGCCAGCAGTTTGGGTATGGCCAATCCCGTACACTGAGCGGTCAGCTGGGCCAGCCTGGGCTTCAAGTCGGATCGCTCCATCTGCTGCATGCGGTTCTGGTTCTTCCACAGGATCCGGATGGTCAGCACGTAAGTGACCAGCATGATGAGCAGGGGGATGTAGAAGGCGAAGATGGAACCGTAGATGATGAAGTTTTTTAGTACGGGCACGCAGACGCCCTGGTTGTAGACCGTGGTGGTGTCCAGGAACCCGTAGAAAAGGATGGGGCTAGAGATTGCCATGGAGACAACCCACACAAAGAGGATCTTGCCGAGGACCATGCGGCGGGTTTTGTTGCGTCCGTAACGCATTGGGTACTTGAGAGTAAAGAACCTAGGACGAAAAAAAAAGGAGGGGATGCATAGGGAACACGTGAATGAGATGATATTATGTTGACGATCAAAAGAAAGGTACCATTTTGTTTTGATTGCGTTGAAAGATCTAGTCTTTTGAGTCTTTAAAATTTTCCTGTCATGTCAGTAGTACAAAACAATCTTAAAAGTAGGTCATATCATAAAAATAACATTTTAGTGATTCAACTTGTGTTTACGTTGCCTAGATTTAAAAAAAAAGAAAATTGGCATTCTTTCCCGATCATGTGGTGGAATTGTTCTATTCTTTGATATTTAATGAATTTAGGTATTTGTCTATCCAAAAACCGCAGTAACATTTTTTAACCTTCGTCACTTTTAAGAAAGATTGTTGGTTTAACATGAGAGAAATCGAGCCATCGGCACGCTCCGCTAGTTTCTGCTGTTGCCAGGACATTCAACGTCTACAGAAAACTGTATTATATGCCTGTGTGTGTGTGTGTGTGTG